TTACATAATTTAAACTATTATAAATTTTAAATATTTTAAAATATTTTATGTATCTCTATTATTTATATATTATCTGTATATATCTATATATTATCTATATATCTATTAATATAATATGTATCAATTACATCATAAAAAAGTAACTAAATATTTTTAAAGTTTTAAATTGTAATTTAAAATATTTTATTTCTAATACAATATATTAGAAATTGGTAACAATAATGCGCAGTGTATTATATTACTGCGATTTAAAATAATGTATTATTACGTAAACAAACAATTATTTCCACCAGTAACAAAGAATAAAATATATTACAAAATACCTCGCCGTCATTATTTTCTAGCTACCTCTCTAACTTTCTTTTCCTCTTTTTTTCTTATTATTTTTTAATATGGCTTATTATTTTTAATAAGCCATATTATACTCACGTAATAATTTCGCTAGAGCAAATAAAATAAATTCTTGGTTACATTTGAGGACGGTTATAATTAATTATTAGAATAAAACGATCGCTCAGCTGCGTATTCCGTTCTTGGAGTCGCGAATACAAATATCTATTAATTATGCGGTTCTTAAATATTGCAATGTTTTAATTACCATTTGATCGAGTCTCGTTGCCATTTGTCTCGGAATCAGTCCGTATCCACGATCTGCAATTAAAGTATAAATGTAATAGATAAAAAAAGAATTTTTCGTATAATTAACATCGCCAAGAGCGACGTGTTGGTTTGGCTACTCTTGATTTTCAATTGAATATACGTTTGCGACCGAATTATCAGCGTACAAGTCTATATTACACGTCTATATTATCAGCTACAAATCTATATTACGCGATATTTAAATGTTATTGAAAATAAATGGAAAATTATACTATAAGTTTTTTGCTTACAATTGAACGCGTCGCGACGCCTGTACTCATCTTGGAGCCGATCCGTTCTGTGCCTGCCGTATTCTGTAAGTAAATGAAAAGTGAACGCTTAATGGTGAAGCGACTTTGTTTTTTATGTGACCAATTTCACGCATTAAAAGCGATACTGCAGCGTTATGCGATTGATTTTCAGTCGAACGAGTATTGCGAAATGCGCATTCGAACAAATATTAGTGTACGTGTGTCGAATCTACATATATTACACGATGATTAACTATTGCAGTAAATGATAAATGCAAAGTTGTAGGTTTACTTACCAATTAAACGACTCACAATGCCACTCGTGACACTTATCCCGTTACTGATCCGTTCCCGCCGCGCTATTACCATGTTCTGTGAATGAGAAATAAACATTATTATGGCAAAACGGCTTTATCTTTCGTACGGTTAACTTCGTGCGTCAAAAGTGACGCGGCGATGCGCATTCAGCTGTTTCTAACAAATATCGAATTTTATATAAATATATAATAATTAAAAATAATATTAAAATAAATGACAAATACAGATCTATTGTCTATTTCGGAGTCGATCTATCTTGAATTCGCCGCGTTTAGAAAAATGAAACGCAATCAAGATGGCAAAGCGGCTCGTCTCCTGTGCGATCAACTAATTCGCACGCCAAGAATGGCAAAAATGATGCAATGGCGCCTCAGCAATGCGCATCCTGTTCTTGACGAATACCAAATTTATAAGTACGCGTTTTGAAATATTATAATAAGCGACAAATACAAATTTGATTTACCATTTGATTGAATCGCGCTGCCACTCTCGGAGCCGGTCCGTTCCATGTTCGCCGCCGGCATCACTTTTGCCGCGTGAACTGCGTGAAGTTGACCGCGCGTTGGAGACGAAACTGCTTCGCTTTAGTGTAATCAGCGCACGGACGATTTTACGCGCCAAAAACGACGCGACGCAACGGCGTGACCGCCGCTGTACGTCTAAATTTTCGACCAAACAAATAATTGCAAAATACGCATTTGATTGAATTATCGTTGTACTAATGTTAACTATTTATTCACGCATATTTAAATGTTAGGAAATTAATGTTTATATATAGCATTTTGAGGCGTAATATTAATAGATTGTACATGATTTAAAATTTAAATATTTTAATTATTCTCAAGATATATAAATCACAATCTTAGCAAAACATATAAAGAAATTATGGTTATATATACACAGAAACAATTTTTAAGTCTCACTATATACACACACACACACACTTTATATATAAATAAAAATTATTTAACTTATTGAATTTACACTTATATTAAAATTCAACGCGCATAACATACAGATATTAATAATGTAATATTATATATATTGGATATTTTTATAACATGTATGTATATGAATTTTAAAATTGTTCAAAAGCTTCAAAAGTTCTCAAAGCGATTAATTCTTAAAATTTTTACGTATTCATTAATGTATGAAAATATATAAGAATTATTAATTACTTTCTGACTAAATTCCAACGATTTGAGCCGTTTCTTATCAAATTTCGCTTTATATATCATATCTTGGTAAAGATTAGATCATCTTTCTGAAAAAATCATGCAATATGAAGTACGATCAGGGTTGCGGCTACATTTCTTCGCAAAAGCAATAATGCAGTTCAATATGTAATTCAAAGTAAAACGTCGAAAATTTACTATTGATATAAACTTTCGTAAAAATGTCGATCTATATAATGATATGTATCTCGTCGGTGCCTATTCGGGATATTTCTGGTGGGTAACATATCTACGGATCCAAGACTAGATCGATTTTGTTCTGCATGTACCGTCTGACAATAAAAAAAATCTCGTGACAGTGTATTATAAATTATAGTATGTATCGTACGTAGTAATATGAATTTGAAACTGTTCTTATAATTTCTTGTAAAATCTTTATTCTCACCAGTATTCTCTGCATATGTAATACCAAATTTATAACAAATTACAAAAATTAAAGAGAGTGGATGTGTTATCCGCCGGAAATATCGTCTGT